ATAGATCGCTTTATTGACCCATCAAGGCGTCGACTAAGCGGTGTGTCTAGGAAAGATAAACAATTATCTTCCTCTTCTACAGATGTAAGTGATATGCTATTCTGAACTTCATTAGTTTGATTTCGAATTGAGGTGGTAGAACAAGACTTATCATTGATGATTAGAATATCATCTGTATACCTTCCATAAAGTGTGACATTTTCGATTAAATCCTCCAATAAATTCTCAATGTACGACATATAAATATCTGCTAAAAGGGGCCCAAACGGACTTCTCATAACAACACCATCAACTTGGTGGAAACAATCGCCTTCAAATGTAAACCTAACATTGTTAGTACATAGAAGTAATAAATCCCCTAAATAAGATTTAGGGAACGGGATGAAAAAATTCTTTGTGGAAATATAATCACACAAAATGTCAACTGTTTTGAGCAAAGGCACATTAGTGAATAACAGGTTTACATCAAAAGTGTACACATTCTTATTCATAATATTAATATTATTAATGACGTTCAAAACATTTACCACATTATCATTATTATTATTTGATCCACAAACTCACCGTCATTGGTTAACATTTTTATATATAAATCTATGTAAATTAGAGTGAAACCTGAAGAAGATCTAATTGAAAACAACAATATTGTTGGCTTCTATGTCTTGTTATCAAAGTATGTTTAGAAAAATGTGAAACCTTCATTTCCACTCCGACCTGCTGTCCTTTATATGGAAGTCATCAAGAAAAAGAAGGACAATTTTGATCACAAAATGATTTCAGTTAGAGGACCATTGAAAATCAGGTTTTCCATCCTTTTTTGGCACTTGGCAGTACGCACCCTTGATCCCACCAGGAACCGAATTTTGGACTTTCAGATTACAAGGTGAAGTTGTATACTAATCAGCTAATGAAATGGAGTCCAGTAGCTCAACAATTCTAACCTTTGTCAATTCATGATATAGCTTGAACACGAGCTCACTAATGACTCAATAAGGTGTGAAGTTGACTGGATTTCTAGTGAGAAGGCATGATCAACGAGGTCCCCAAGTTATGCGTGAGGACAGGTACTCAACAATGATACTGGCTGGTGGTTGCGTTATATTGCAAATCGGCAGAAGTTAGAACTGACGGGTCCCGTTCCATTGGCTGAATGGTATACAAGTTCAACTTGTAAACCAAAGGTCCTGGCTTCGATTCTTAAGAAGGGGGTTGTGCGTGCGTACTGCTGAAAGGTGCCAGGCGAAGACGAAAAAGCTGACTAGTACTCTCCAGTTTCTAATGGTCCTCTAAGTAAAGTCGATCTGTGACCAAAAGTGAAATCAGTCAAATTCCAGAAAACTAGCGTTTGATGAAAATATTGAGCAAAGAAACCAAACAGTACGGTGGGCTTGTTTAAATGAAATAACATTGCCTATTTCTAAATCGTCAGGATTTTCTTTTTAATATAAAAGTTACAGCTGCTCTCAAAGAATATGACGTCTATGTAAAATCTGCTGTCCGATGTGTAGAGATCATGACAGTCTCTGCTGGGTCAAATTACTTTAAGCAGTCATAACATAAATGTTTTATATCCAGTATATTTCTCGCATAGGCATTATTATTATTGTTCCTTTGGGTTCCTAGTGGAATATAGGGCTTCAACTGCACGCCTCCACTTACTTCTGTCTTCTGCTGTATTTTTCACCTGCGTTCATGTTAATCCATATTGTTTCAATTCCTCTTCACACGATCTCCTCCATGTCACCCTCTGACGTCCCACTCGCTGCTTCCCTTTCGAGTTCCACTTGAGCGATGGCCTGACGCGCGATGTCACCCAGCGGCCTCCTCAACGAGTGTCCAATCCATCTCAACTTTCTCATGCATATTTGTTGGGCGATTGGTTCTTGTTTCGTTTGTTTCCATAGTTTCTTGTTGGTGATTCTTTCCGGCCATCTAATCTTCAGTATGGAGCGAAGACAGCTGTTGATAAAGGTCTGCAACCTGTTGGAAATATTCTTTGTGACCCGCCAAGTTTCTGATCGGTAAAGCAAAATTGACTTGACGTTTGTATTGAAAATCCGAATTTTGTTGTTGATACAGGCTGAGTGACGAATATTTCCAGATTGGTTTCAGGTTGATGAATGTGTTTCTCGCCTTCCCGATTCTCGATTTGACATCCTCTTCCGTTCCTCCTGTAGTTGAAACAATGCTCCCTAGATAAGTGGAAGAAGTAACCTCTTTCAAATCCCTCCCGTTGATGGTGATTGGCGCTGGATGTTGTTGCTGTTGTTGTTGGTTGGTTGGTTGGTTATTTTCATAAACTCCGTCTTGTCTATGTTCACCTGGAGTCCTGTCTTTCGCATAGGCATATATATTTATATCAGCATTCTGAAATAATTCAGAAGACTTGTAGCTCATGCGAATGTTTTTTGGCATGTGCAGGTGTGTTCTCTAAGGTGAGTGGTTCACTTGCGAGCCTTTTATTATTCATCCAGACAACAAGCTGTCCAAAAATATCAGCATTCTATATTCAAGTTCTCCTGTCTTAGACATTTACGGGTTGTCTTCCTTATTTCGTTGTTTCTTGTGTCTGTCATATGAAGCTGTTTTACTTGTAGAATGTAAACTTACATTCTTTCACAAAAGACGTCACACTATTTGCTACTGATAACCATATCTGTGAGCAGCACAGATCACAGATGTCTGTCTGTCTGTTTTCAACATAGAACTTTGCACCGATATGCGGCAGTTCGAGTCGCCACACTCCATGTAGCACACAAGGCAAGAGAAGAAAGTAGAAGAAATGCAAAATAGAGACAGTTTTATTGGGTATTAAAAGTCACAAGAAGTGGATGCATCTGCGCCAGCCATTGAGAATGATTTTGAACCATATCACCGATTGTCTCCAGCAATTGGTTTTTTACCGTCCCGAGGACCCCAACCAGTCAGAAAGTCTACATCTCCCTACGTGGTTTAAGCTAACTGTTGTGGATTTCACTGACTGATGCCATGTTTTGGTTTGACCACCACTACCTCTTTTTTAGCCTCACCCTAAGTCAGCTTACACTGCTCGTCGAGGAAGGCGATGGCTAAGCATCCATGCGTAACACATGTTCTGACCATCTCAGTCGATGTAACTTCACAGTCTCGTCGAATGATTTCTCCTCCTTAACTAGCACTCGACTCTTAACCTCAATATTGCTCACCCTATTATACCACTTCACACGGGAGATGCAATGCAGGCATCTATGATCGAAGACAGCTAGTCTTTTCATTTCTTCCACTCCCAATGGCCAGGTTTCACAGTCATAAAGGAGGACGGAGCGGACCGCTGAGCAGTACACCCGCCTTTTTGTTGATAACCAGTCGGATATCACGTCTACGCCAGAGACGACGTGAACTGGTGTATGCGAAACGAGCGTTCTGTATCCGTGCTGAGATCTCGTCAGCAATCAACCCTTTGGGGATCACAGATTTATCTAAATAGCAAACTCAATGTCATTAGATATCGTACCATGGAGTCAAACCCGGTTATGTAATAACCGATTAGACATCCGTGGATGAAATGAAGATCACCCGTAGAGAAAAAGAAATCTCGTAGACAGTTGTACAGCCGAATGGAATAGGCATTTAACTCTGAAGCTGTATACACCATATATTAAGCGGGGAATGAATAAAGAATATAATGTACATGAAATGACGCCTTATAACACTCTTTATGCTTTAATGATTCTAACGAATTTAGTGATTGTCTTGACTTTGACCATCAGAAATTAGGATAGAATCTTAGAACAACTATGCAATTACCCCTGATGATAACATTTACACATCAAATGGTAATAGTTATACACATGCAATGTTTTGTTTACAATTCTTCTCCCATAAATTGATTTTTCCCCACAACAATATTTCCTCTGAAAAGTGTATTAACATGTAATGCTAAATGTTTCTACTGGATTTTTCTTATTTCCCTTATTTTTTCCGTTTTGTATTCACTTTCTCCAGTTTGGATTGAAAGTTCCTAAACGAATAGAATTCTATGTTATATAATGACATAACATTTGTTGAAATTATAATTTATACAAATCTCATTCACTGACTTTTATTGGGCCGATATATTCAGCCTCTATCGACTGTTCAGCTGCTAGTATGGACACCACAAGGATGCCATTAGGATTAACACAGTGTCATCTGATTTCAGTGGGAAATAAGTGACAACTGTTATTCGTTGCACAAGTAGTGGCTGTCATAACCAATTGGCCTAGTTGAATAACTCTTTGACATTTGAAACAATGGCTGCTTCGATCGGATCTCATTGAGAACACTATCGCCCACTGAAAATTCATGTATGTTCAGTTGACGCCTCTCAAACGGGACGAGATGTGCTATCCTGGAATCCGCTGCTAACCGCCATTAACCGAGTAGCCCGAAATGTTTAAATTTAATCAGAAATTGTGAATATGTATTGATTCAATGGTTGGTTTGTAAGGATTAGATTGTGCCTCGGTGGCATAGCAGTTAGGACGCTCGCCGACCATGCACATGTTCCGGGGTTCGATCCCCGGCCACCACATTCCTTTACCTCGCTAAGCCAGAACTAAAAAGCTGGTTGGGCATGGGGCTAGCAACCCCGTCCTGTAAAAATAAATACTGCTACAGAACCTTCAAGCCTGTAGCTTGAAGCCCTATGTTCCACTGGGAACGTCAAGGAATAAAAAAGGACTAAATTTATTTTTAGGAGTTGATCGCGGATTGATATCAGTTAGAGAACCATTGAAAACAATCAGGGAGTACTGGACAGCTGCTTCCGTTGTCCTAGTTCAAGACTCGTAGACAGTACGCACCCACCACAGAGGGTCGAACCCAGGACCTTCAGATTACAAGGCAAGTAAGCTCGTATACCATTCAGCGACTGGGACCCAATTCAATCTCCAACCCATAAAATTCTAACTTCTATATTATTCGGATGTTTCAATCACTGAATGTCTTGATGTCTACTTGTTCTACTTCTGTTTTTACAGGGATAATGGATAGTGTAACATGTCCTATGTGTCGGGAAGAATTTGCACCGCTTAGCATTCTTATACGTGAATTCACGGAGAATTTACGCACTGACAATAAAAGCAGTAGTAAACTGCCACATACTACTAATACTAGTAATATGTGTACTATGATAGTCAAAAGTCAATCAACAGAAAAACAGAATACAGTAAATGTTGACAAAATCCCTGTGAAACATTCGAATACACGATGTTTAGCTTGTCTACGTTCACCAATATTAGGCAATCTATATCGATGTGAAGTATGCTATGAGTTATCAGAAGGCGGAAGTTTAAATCCATTTTTATGTGCAGCCTGTTTTCGTTCTGATAAACACAATGAACATAATCGGTATGTATATAAAGAGGTGAGCTGGTTATATACTGTACTTCTCTTTTATTTTAATTACTTTTACTATTATAAGAAGAAGTTGCATAGCGTCAACTTTACCCTGGTAGTATTTACTCTATTGAAATAATAGCAAAAATATTTGTAGCTCAGGAAGATAATCTGCAATTAGTTGTGTTCTCTGAAAAGCTGGCTGGTTGCTTTAATTCTGAAGGTTTCGTCGTCCCTTGATATACGAATAAAACTTGTGCACTGCATTGATAGAGTATAATTCGATTATGGGTAAAATTTATTTTGATAAAGTCTCACAGTGTTATACAGTAAAATTTACTGATGACCACGTTTCGAGCACAAATTATTACTCCTCATAATCATATCAAGACACTACTCACACAAATTTCTAACTTCGTTTGTAGAATTCCATTAGTTTTCATCGGTTGACTTGATGATTGGTAGTAGAATTTTCCATATTTCAGGTATGATTGATGAGTGATTCCTATTGCATGTGTTGGGTGTAGATTCGATGAACAAAGATTCAGTAATCAACCTCTCTCTCTCCACCTACCTAGATTACTTTTTAGAATTTTAACCCTCTCCCACCCTATTGTGTGCTAATGCATGCAGAGCGATTGTCGAGCTCTATTTTAAATTACTTATCTTCGTGGGGTCAACCATTCTTACCTTAGCTAGATTCTTATGTTCTGACAATGTGACCACCCCTGACCTGCTAGTTTAACCTATATAGTTGACTTAACTCACAGTCATTGCAAGGTATTTTCAAAATTATATTATTTTGTCTAATTGGGTTCATTAACAGGGTCCTTTAGCCTACAGAGCTTGTCCTGCCTGCCTGAGTGAGTTTGTAGGTTTAAATGCCACCACCGGGATTCCTGCTTTTTAGGAATCCTACGCAGGGAGGGTCTCACATGTTCCCTCCTTTTATGGTATAACTGTAGATGCCTTATATTCTGTCTTATTTATGTTATCATTACTAGTTTCACAATTATTTTTACTTTGTTTTTGACCTTTTCTGATCTTCCAAACGAATTTTACAGGATTTTTAATTTTAATTTTTTAATTTTATCAAAGCTTGATTCCACACAGTATTTTGGTACAGGTATGAAATTTTCAGCATGTGATATCGGTAGTCCGAATTTTGCAGGCCGACCATAGATATTAGGTGTGCATCGGCGGGGAATCGAACCCCGGACCATGTGCATCGTCGGCGAGAGTCCTAATCACTGTGCCACTGATACCAACGCTTCTCTATCTGTTTCATTTCATCATTTAGGTCTTTTCTTGTGCTACTCAGTTCTACTGCTCGGTTTGTTAGACACTTAACTAAGCCTGCCTTCATAGACAGACAACGGATGAGGTGAATTAAAGTCTGAATATCTATTAGCAGAATGTGTTGGTTTTTATAAACTGTACTGATCATTTTTTATTGACTTGGAATTTGAACTTTCTTGTCATGTGATGATTTACTTTTTATTAGTTGGTATATTTGGTCTATATTAACATGTTTGTTAGTCGCTGGCTGATTCACTTGAGTACCAGGTTTATAGGAATTCTCTGGCAGTATTTTTGGTGTTCTCTCTCTGTTAAAAATTTCAGTAAATCGACTACCAGTCACGAAGATGGTTGTCTATCGGAAGACACAATTCTATCGGTCATGGAAAATATAAATCAGTTCACTTTATGTTAAAACTTGCGCTGAAAGGGGATGCTTCCAGAAAGAGGACGATGAAAGCTTTGCAGTTACATCAACCAACCAGCTCCTCAGAGGACACAACTAACTACAAAGTATGTGCCACTGATTGGTGTAAGCAGTTCGGATCGTCTCATGATAAGCACTGGAGCTTTTTAACCAGACAAAAATAATCCAAACATCACTTGGCTATTACACACTAGTTTGGAGCTAAGATCATCAGCAGTACACTCTGCTGGATCCGGATCATACAGCCAAGTCGTCTCAAACTATCCGAATTGTAATGTGAATATTTGCTAACTTCCAAAAGACACTGTGGTGAATTTCGCGATTCAAACTGTCTAATGTGCAAATGTTATTTGACTGAGAGTAGGTAGTAAAGGAAGTGAAATGAATCTGAATTTTCATTGGGCGAAGTTAAACTTTCGACACCAGTAACAACCAATCAGCAAACGACTTTGAACGGACCAATCACATGGAAGAGGCATTTATGATAAGTGGAAACGTATATTTATAGAAAAATGCATAAAAAGAAGGATAAAACGGTTACAAGGGGTATCTTTCCCAAACATGGGAGAGAAACATCTCCCAGTTCAGCATCGGACTGTCAATGGAAAAGTCACACCACATTCTATAAATATATTCATCTAAATGACTATAAATGAGATCCTTTTGAGATCCATTTATAGCCCTTATCAGATTTTTCAACCGGCCCCAAAATCCTTCAATAGAATTCACTCGCTGGTGACCACGGTTGTATTTCTTTTTCAGCAACACAGTTTCATCCACATGCACAACAACGTCTTCTTCGCCCAACAACGAAGTGATCTTCTCCATTTTCCAAGAAGCAATATCTCTGCAATGCTGGTACCATTGAACTGTTGAGACGAGGCTGTTCTCCGTCTCCGCAGCTGCGGCTCTTCCTGGCTGTTTCAATACCCAGTAGTTGCAGATATATAAAATTTGCGTCAAGGAGAGGTGTGACCTTGCAAAAGAAGTTCCTACGAAATATTAAAATTATCAGCTTACCCTCTATAATGCTAACACGTTTCAAGCATATAGCACAACGATGAACAAATCCATCAGTTGACCTGCTTTAGCTTTTTAAAGTCAGGACACCACCACACGAACAAGTTTGCTCCTTCCGGAGCAACCCTAAATCCAGGCAATACTGGAAAACACTGTCCTACTCGAATTGCAAACGCAACCTTGTAAGGGCAAGCATTAGAAATGGATCAAACGCTGTATAACATTGAACTACGTTCGTGAACCTCATTGGATAATTTGACGTCGTTCGCTGATTGGTGGTTAGTGGCTATTAAGGTTTAACTCTGCCATAAACTGAAATAAGTCGGGAAAGAATCATCGAAAGGAGAATAACGACAGGACAATAGATTTGTAACGACAGGGGACAAGGGTCAGGCAACAGATCGTTTATTGAGAAAATCAACAGATATTTATAGATTTTTATGTACATTATTATTAGCGATATTGTTATTCTTAGCAGAGAAGCAACGTCTTCTGATTGGTTGTTTTCCTGCTGAAGGTTATTCTGTTATCTCTTTGTGGACGTTTCTTAGACAGTCTGATGATGTATTTGCGAATCTTATCCGCCCACACTAAGTCTTCTGTGATTGGTTGTTGAGTTCCTCAAAGTTAGTCGTGGTTCTTGGTTTTTCTTATGACAAAGATTTTGGACGTAAACATTGACGTAAATTGTTGTCTACAATTTTGGCCAGCAGACAGCTCTCACCACAGATTTTGGAGGTGACAACGACTGAAAGCATCTGTGTTACTAGGGAAGATTTTGAACCATATTACCGACAGTCTGTAAATCTGAATGGTCAGTGATGTGCTTCTATGTTCCAATGAAGGGTTCTGATGTGGCATAACCACCCTTAATTAATTCGTTCAACTTATTCTTTAATCCTTCAAATTAGATACCGAATAGTAAATGGCTTGAGGTACCAAGTAATCGAGGGGCAATTGAAAATCTCAATGTACGCTTGACTAATAAAACGGAAGAAAATTGTGACAATTTCAGCCAATAGTAAGTTGAGAAGTTTTAACCTATTAAATATCAGTGTTTTCATTATAATGAGATGAGTGTTGAATGTAGCTCATATCAAAAGGCATCATTTATGATATTAGATGGTTGGAGGCAATCGGCCACAGGAAGCCTTTCTCGACCTAGGTTTCGTCCTTGCTTATTGGAAGTCACCAGTCAGCAAGGCTGCATATCTGCAACTTTTAAGGAACTCATTTTTTTGCTGAGATTCAAACCCACGTCACGAATTGCCGCCTGCAGTCAGAGACGTTACCACTGAACTGTTCGGGCTCGCGATTGATTCCGTGTAGGATACTATCACTGGACACTATTAACTAGTATGATGTGTATAGCCCTTTCTTTGATGCAGACTGAATTCTATCAGTCGAGTTTGTAATGTGGCCACTATTCTAGGCAGCTCGCCATCACGGTGTACATTGATTTGATGAGCTACCTAGAATGCTGGACACATTACAAACTTGACTGATAGAATCCAGTCTACATCAAAGAAAGGGCTAGACACATCACACTAGTTACTAATGTTCGATCAAGGTATTATTTATCGATGGTGACGCTAAATCGCTTTTTTTATAGTTTGATTTGAAGATTGTTTAACTGAAAGGATTGAGTTGGATTCGAGCCAGCGGCCTCCAAACTGTTACCATCTATGATATGAAGCCCAACAGCTGATCAGGTTATGTTTTCACTACGTAATGTCTAACTGTTACATCGACAATATCAATATTAACCGAATAAATAAGTCAGGAAATAAGTAAGGAAATGTGAAAATAAAATAAATAATGATAGTAGCGATAGTGAGAATAACAATAGTAATGATAATAATAATAGTGATAATAATAATAATAATAATATTAATGACGACACCAACAATAAGGAATCTAAATCATCAGTAGTAATTCCATACAAGGAAGGAACCTCGGAAACCAACTTACGCAGAATTCTTAACAAGGCAAGAATAAAAGTGGCTGGCATTCAAACTGTACACAAACTCAATTAGAAACATGCTTTGTCGGTTAAACGATCAATCCTTTAAAACAAAACAATTCAGTTTATCTAATACCCTGCCTGAAATGATTGTCAGGTCAAATATACATAGGTCAAAGTAGTAGAATAGGGACAGTCAGACTAGCAGAACGTAAAAACCTAGCAATATGTAGATTGGTTGACCCAAATAAGATAAGAAAACTGGAGAATAGTTCGGCTATAGCACTACACCATATGCAATTACACACAACCATACAAATAGGCTGGATGGGATAGGATGACAGTTTTAAAATCTAATGTCACAGGGTATAGGGAGAGATTGACAACAGAAGCTTTGTTTATCGAATCAACTACAAGTACATGTAATAGGAATGATTCATCACCTGTCCCCGATATTTGGAAAATTCTACTACCCATACGACAAATAGGAGAGAACAAAGAAAACTATAAAACTCAAGTGACAAAGTCGTGTGATTATAGTTGATGAAATGATAATGATTACCAGAAAAGGTAAACATTTCATTCACAAAGAATTTCCAAAGCACTCTGACAATTGTTGGCCACAGGGAGAATGAATGAAAGCTTCACCATTAGACCGTGAAGCTCAGAGAACACAATAACACCGAAACCATCCAATTCATCCGAATTTATCTCCCCAACTAGTGGTATGTATGTGAGAGCTGGATCTCTCAGTGAATATGAAGAAGTGACGACTTCTCAAAGAAAGTATCTTTCAAAACTAAATGAACTAATTCGAAAGTGTCTATAACCTAATAGATTTCGTTAACTCTAAATGTGTCCGTTTCTTTGAATATTAAGCTTTATTTCATTGAATTTTAGATTCTCCCGCCGATTGATTGAACTGAAGTGCTCGGTCTCAGGTTGACATGTCTGCTTCTTGTGCAGCAGATGCTTCGACGATTACTGGGCATGTAATTCGAATTTAATTGGTGGATGGTGACTAGCAGTGGAATCCAGGATTACGCGCATTTCGTCCTATCTAAGACTCGTTGGTGGCTGGTTGTACCTGTATTACCCAGTGAGTCAATGATGATGTCCTCACCGAGGCTCGAACACAGTGCCCATAGTTTCAAATGCCAAGGCGTTATCCACTAGACCACTTGGGACACGAGGGCCACCTCTGCACAAGAAGCCGACATGTCAAACTGAAACCGAGCACTTCAGTCCAATCAATCGACGGGAAAATCTAAAATGCAATTAAATAATTAATATGATCCGTCGCACAGAAGGTGGCTGTCGTGGCCCAAGTGGTCTAGTGTATAACGCTTTGGCATTTGAAACTATGGGCATTGGATCTGAGCATCGGTGGGAACATCATCACTCACTGGGGAATGCAGGCACATCGATGTGATGAGTCCCGAACACGACGAAATGCGCGTTATCCTGGATTCCACTGCAAGTTACCATCCAACAAATTTACTACTGAGTTAATTATGTGCGCTCTGAAGGCTTTATCCCATTACAGATATTCATCTCTTTTCTTAATGTTATATCTCTTTTGTAAATGTCTAAGAAAGTATCTAATCTAAGGTTATTTTCCATCGTGTTTAACAGTTCTCATGATCAAAGGGAACTTTCCAATCAATCCTTATTCCAAGAAGGTATTGAACCTTTACAGTTAGCTGAACTGGCACAAATCCATCAGTGGACTATTCGAATTCCTAGAGATCGAGGCGATATAAAAATAAGAAAAAAGTCTGAAGGAGAAATTGAAACAGAAGGCGAAAATAAAGTTAAAAGTCCAAGAAGAAAGTCATCAATCTATTCTGAATTACTTATTGGAAGATCAGGAAACAAATATTCTACAGGATTATTATCACCAGGACGTCAATGCTTGATTTGTTTAATGGCATTTCAAGTGAATGATCGAGTCAGACGACTTCCAGCCTGTCAGCATATTTTTCATTCAGCGTGTATAGATCCATGGTTACTACATAAGTGAGTTGATATTGATTTGTATAAAGGGAGGAAACGCGAAAAAGTCTCAAATTTTAAGTCTGTAGAGGGTTAAGAACCGACATTAGTTACAGAGGTGTCAAAAGACTCAGAGGCCACTGAAAAGTGCTGTTTGGTTCGAAATTGGCTGAGAATTTCTGGATAGCCTTAAACTAGGCTGAAACAGATATCTAGTGCTAGTTGGGTACCAGTGTCTGTGTCACCCCTTCTCCTCCAGCCAATTGATGACGAAGGCCACATAAAAGTTGAGCAGTTGGTTATTCACAAATTATTATCACCACATAGTTGCTTGCTGAGCGCACCCAAGCCGCGAAACACACAAATACAAATTACAGAGTTTAGAAAACTCTTTTTAATGTAGTTGTGTCCTATTAGCTGGATAGCTAATTTGCGAAGCTTTCATCGCCCTACATACTAGGCAACATCCTCACTTCAGTGCATACTTCAATTTGTTGAAATGAGATTTAAGATTTCTCCACGAGTTTATTAGTCATCTCTCCTGTCGACGTCCAACGTGAATGACCCTTTTTGTGTTTTCATACCCTCTAGGCTATTTGTATTGGTGTTGATTGTTTCCTTTACTTGAACTTTCACCCTCTGTGTGTGAGATTTCCTTCTTATCCATTGTTAAATTTTGTCTATCTCGATGTGTCTGTTTATCGACGATTCACTGGAATACCAGGTGGGCTTCTAAAAATTCTCTGGTTAGCATTCTTGGTGTTTCCTCTGTCTTATATTTGAACGTTGGTTGTCCCAGTCACGTTGATGTCCGTGGTTGTCTGTATGCGGCGAGTGATATGAGGGAGTGAATGTCATGTCTTCTGACGACTAGTTTATGATCATAGATATGAAAACGAAGGGGGCGTCCACGTTGACCAATGTATTGTTTTTCGCAGTTGTAACAATTTATTTTGTAGATGATGTTGGTTTTATCTTCCTTCGTTGTTGAGTCTTTTGGTTGACACAGGGCTGGCTGGCTGAGTGAAGTGATTTTGTTGGTTTGCCTGTGACTTCAATTCCTAAGGGTTTGAAGAGTCTCGCATTGATTTCTGAGATGTCCTTTATGTATGGTAAGACGATTTTCTTTGGGGACCTTCCGTTTGGTAGGTTGGCTTGGGGGTATATGTCTTTTGACGAAATTCCATGGATATCCATTCTTTTCGAAGACGTTCATGAGATATCTTTCTTCAATTTTTCTTCAGGTAGGTTAAAGTACTGCAATGAGTCCTGACTGTACCCCTTCAATAATGTTTGTAGACAATTCCTTTTGTGCGTTATTGGATTGTTGTTGTTGTAATTCAGTATTTGGTCTGTGTGAGTTGATTTTTTGTTAACCTGAGTTTCTAATTCGCTTGAGACGTTCAAAAATAAGATTTTGTTCTTGGATTCCTCTTCTCTTATGAATTTGATGTCGTTAGAGACGTTGTTTATTAAGTTGTTAGTTTTATCCAACTCGTTTCTTTTTGCTTATTACAAATGTGTCACCTACGTAGCGTATCCAAATTTTGAGTTTGATCTTTGGCAGGGTTATATTTTCAAGCTTTGGCATCACTACTTCTGCAGTCAAACCTGATACTGGTGATCCCATGGGTGTTCCTTTGACTTGTCCATATATTTGGCCGTTGAATTGGAAGTACGTTGTTAGGCATAGGTTTATGCATTCCAACCAACTTGTGTGTTGCATTTTTGATTGTTGTGGAAGGTGTTCATCGTTGCTGAATATTTGCTAGTTTCTGTTCAATTGAGGTATATAATGCTGTGACGTCGATGGATATCGTTATTTCTTGGTCATGAATTTGAATGCCTCTGGTTTTATATTTAAATTGGATAGCGGAATTGATGGGGTGTTAACAAGATTCTGTTAGGTGTTTCAATTTTCTGTGTAATTCTTTGGATAAATTGTATGTTGGGCTTCCCGAGAGTGATACGATTGTTCGCAACGGGATATTTGGTTTGTGTATTTTAGATCTGCCGTAGAATCAGGGTAGAACTGATCCAATGGATTTCATTCGCCATTGGTCTTGTTTTGTGATCTAACCTGTTTCGGTGAGCCTGTTTAAAGTTCTTTGGATGCAGTTGTCTAATATTTGTATGGGATAAGTTTTGAGGTGTTGATATACATCTTCATCTTTGAGTAGTTCTTCAGCTTTCTTGGTGTATTCTTCTCTGTCCATGACTACTGTTGTTCTTCCTCTATCAGCTGGTAGAATGACGATTTCCTTCCTATTTTTCCAGCTTTTTGAGGGCTTTTAGCTCTTGAGAGTTGAGTTGTGTGTGTTGTTGTTTTCTGTTTGACCATCGGTAAGATTGTTTGGCGTATCTCTTCCTGTGTTTCCTCGTTCAAGTTTGATGATTTGAGTAATGATTCAAGGCCAGTGAAGAAATCAGTTTTTGAAGCGTCTTCAGTGTTGTAGTTTAATCCTTTTTGTAGTAGTTGTTGTTCTATTTTTGATAGGTTGATTCTAAGTGATATCACACGTTGCTCCCTCGAGTAGAACCCTGTTGGAAAGCAACCAGCTGGGTAATCTAGTATGACATGCAGAAAGGGAAGAAAGAGAACTAAGCATAATGGAAACGTGCCACTGAGTTCATGTATTCCGCTATGGATATGAAGAAGGACTAATAGAATAACAAATAGCTGCTTTCACATCAAGTAGTCTTGTCTGAGATGCAACTAAACTCTGTCATAGGACCAAAGTTCTATTCTTATATTTATGAATAGTGAACTATAAATTTCCTTACAAATAACTGGAACTCGAGTGAACAATTTAATTCCATTCCATAGTAATTCGTCAGTGAGAATGTTTTGTCTTCGAATGTAACAATAGTTAAGTTTAATCTTCAGACTAGCCACTCATAGTACGAAGGTTAGTCTTTCCCTTATGACACTGGCTGGTAATACGTCAGCGAATGTTTTGCAATTGCGTATTATAATACATAGATTCGGGTTCAATGCTGAATACGGTAAGTGAATTGAATTTAGACCAAATATGAGTGTTCTTTCTCAAATACCTTCTGCTCTAAGTGACCCACGAAGACATCAGAAGACTAGACTGGTGTGTGCTAGTGAGAATAACAACTACCTTTTTGGAGAATAATACAACGATAACTAGTTTGATTGCCTATGTAAGATTGGGCATCAAGTGATGTCCAATGAAATTATGACAAGGTCATCTGCCTCATTAGCTGATGGCTTAAACTATCGAATCTGATTCAAGCGAGCTCCAGCCTGCATGTTCTGTTAAATACAGTCAATATAAGATGAATTGAAATTTGGGGTATATAACGAGTTTGTATTTTTAATATATTTTCCGTGTGTTGAAGTTTCTCTGGAGATTTGAAAGGTTTAGTGGTGTGGGGTTGGTAACCCCCCACGCCCGACCCTCCCTCTTTACTCGGGCTTGGAACCAGCTAGAGAGCTGGTAAATTAGGTGAGGTTAAGTCGCATCATCCTATAGGGAATAAAGGATGCACTGGATACAAAACTCCGCTACCCACCGGAACAAGCTGGATTCAGGAAAGGCAAATCATGTGCTGATCAAATTGCAACTCTACACATCGTCATCACACAACAAAGCATAGAAGGGCAGTTAAAACTTTACCTCAACTTCATCGACTTCGAAAAGGTGTTCGACAGATATCATTGACAGTGAAGTAATTTAGAATAATAATAATTTGCTCTATTCCAGAAACAGTACTAGTGGTACAGTGTGGAATTTTCAGCACATATCTACAATATTTGCATCTAATTTTATCCAACGTTTAAAAGGAGTATTTCAAAAATAAATATAAAGATAACAACAAAAAAAACACAATAATTTAAAAAATGCGAAAAAATACCAAGAAGTAGGAAGGAAAATAAACAACATAAAATAATATCTCAGTATTGGGTAGTGGAAGCTATGATATGATTATGCATGGTGACAGTAAAGCTATAGTCATACAAGAAGTTATGAAATGATATTTAAGAATGTTTATCGTCAAGATGATCAGTTAATTTGGTTGAAACAACTCTAAACAATCATGAAATAACATTTCAGGGTTGTTTTTTATTGTCAGGTCTAATGCAGTGTTTGTAGTGGTAGTGCGAGTAATCCTGCATAATGCAAAATTTTAAGGTGGTGACAATGGCGTTCACAACCAATGATTGTCAGTTAATATTACCACAAAAACTAATAATTACATGATGGTTAATGACAGGACAATTTTGTAATACTCATAGTGCTAATATAGTCGAAACCAGTAGATGCACAAAAGAAGGAATACAGTAAAATACAAAAAAGTAAGCAATGTTAATAATTTAGGTAGCTAAGTATGTTTAAGAAGGAGTTCACTATAGAATACAAAATAAGAGAGAAATAAAAGAGCCTAAAATTATGTTATTAACAACAAAGCAAGTCATAGGTTTCGCGCTTAACATTGTCTTTGTCACTTAGAACACGGACCAAGTATGGTATCGTTGAGTTCCTGTACTTGGTTGTACGAGCATAAATTATTTTATACTGATTTCTGGTTCTACTTGATGAGATACAAAGCGAGAGTTGGGAATAGAGGGGTTGTCAGGGGTCGGAGAGTATGGTTTTAGACCATTTTTCACATATATTCAGATGCCTTTCTAGTAATGTAGTGACGAGCTGACTGCGTTTCACACCACTAGTCCTACTAACTACCTTCAACATCCTTCTCAGGATGGTGTAGTCCTTTTTCAGTAGCCCAAGAAAGACTAACGGGGAGCAGTAAATTAGAATAGGTAAGATACAAGAGTTGACAAATTGTGAAAGTAGAGGTTAGGTGATTCCAGATTGTCTAAGTTTCTTAATGTAGTAGGTTAGACAGAACACTTTCTTAGAAATCGTTAGGATATGAGATGTCCAAGTAAGGTCAGAAGATAGAACAAGACTGAGGTAGAAACTTCTTCAACACTACGACGTACCTCAAGTCGTTGTCAACCTTATTCAACAGCTATACAACGATGTCAAGTGTCAAGTGATTCCCAACGGAAAACTCAGCGAGGCGTTGGAAGTGAATACAGGAGAAAGACAAGGCTGGCTGGCTGGCTGCCTGCCTATTATCATCGATGATATTCATAAGTGTGGTGGGGTGGATTACGCGTGAGACTGTTGGTGGTGAGGAGTCCGGAATACGCTTGACCACCGACGAGAAGACTCTAGAAGATCTGAATTTTGCAGATGATATATGTCTGATGTCACATAAACTCGAAGACTTACAGGCAGGCGAAAACCAACAAACTGGCTGAAGAGGCAGCGGGGACAGGACTCCAAGTGAACAGATAAGAGACGGAGGTGATGAAGATAACCAGTCAACAAACAGCAACAACAGCTGCTTGTGTCAATCGTCATCAACGGGAGAGATTCGACAAAAGTTACCCTCTTCACTTATCTGGGAAGCAGCGTTTCAACTACTGGTAGAACGGAAGAAGATGTCAAAGTCAGCCAGAATTTGAAAGGCAAGATACGCCTTCATCAATCTGAAACCAGTTTGGAAATCTTCTGCACTCAGCACAAGGAAGAAGATTCTTATTTTCAACACTATTGTGAAGTCGGTTCTTCTATACAGGTCAGAAACTTGGCGTGTCACGAAAAGGGTTTTAAACGTGTTGCAGACTTTCATCAACAGCTGCCTTCGCTGATTGATATAAGAATAAAACTTGTTCATTGCGGTGAAGTATAATTGCATTATGGGTAAAATTTATTTTGATAAAGTCTCACAGTGTTATACAGTATTATTAACTGATGACCACTTTTCGAGCACAATTTATTGCCGCTCATTATCATATCAAGGTGCTAACGAGTATCACTCAAATTTGGCTTCAATTACCTACCATCTATTTAAGAAAGTACATCGCTTCGGTGAACCTCCTAAGTTGTTGGCCTCATTGCAAGTATACGGGTGGATTTCAGTCAACACAAAAACTAAGGTATCGACACGTGACACTGGTGGTTACCTCTTGCCACAATGTTTGCCGTGTTTAAGTTATCTCATTCTAGCTAAGGGGTATTGGTAATTGACGCGAATGATCAGCAATTACTTATTTCATTCAGTAGTATATATCGTGTCACATATCCTATACCTAAACCTCAAAGTATACATTTCAGTTTACAATGCTAGTTGTATGTAGATACAGTTTTGAAAATGAAAATTTTCGATCCAATTTAATCAATAATCTGACTTTTATCTTTCTCCCAATTTATTCAATGAAGATCATCTATCTGTCCAATTGATCGGGTACTTGTTCAGCCAAGAAGAAGAAAAGTAAACGAGAAATCAATAAATTGTCATGAATCAAAGTTATCCATACTGAATAACAACTTGAATGAATTAAAAATCTGTGCTAAACAAATCGAAAGTAGACCTGATGTTAAAACAAAGTTGGTAGATAAAAAAGGCGTAAATATGAAAGCTTTTTCTGCAAGAGAGACAACACTTTCAAATGTAAGTTTTTGTAGAAGATGCGTGAAGGTTTAAACATGTTGAAGACGACTGACAGCTCACGTGGATGAATATAACTATTATTATTATTATTGTTTCCTTTAGTTCCTAGAGGAACATAGGGCTTCAGCCATGCTTGTCTCCATTGCGTTCGGTTCTCCACCAACAACGTTTTCACTACCTGGCTACAAGTCTGCTCAAATGCTTTCATCTCCTCTTCACATGACCTCCTCCTCCATGTCACCGTCGCACTGACCACTGACAAACTCGCCACTTACTATTTCGGTTCCACTCGAGCGACGGCCTGCCGTGTGATGTCACTCACTTGATGGTTTGTTTTCTCAGAGTGTGGCCACCAATCCACTTCGATTTCTTCCTTCATATTTGTTGCACTGTTGGTTCTCGCTTGGCTGGTTCATTCATTGCCAGAGATCCCTGTTGCTGATCTTTTCTGACCGGCCATCTGATCTTGAGAGGTATTGAGCGAGTACAGCTGTTGATGAAGGTCTGTTGTTTGTTTGAAGTACCCTTCGTGATGCTCAAAGTCTCTGATCCGTATAGCGAGTAGCAGTTACTTCACAGTGGAGTTCAAAATCCAGATCTTATTTTTCATGCTGAGTTTTCTTGTCCTCCACGCAGACTTGAGAGAAATGAAAGCTTGCCTTGCTTTCCCGATCCTCACTGTTTTGATATCCTCATCAATTCTGTCTGCATGTTGTTGAAACGATGCTTACCAGGCAGGTGGGTAGGTAGGCAAAGGAGGTTGCTTGTTTCAGATTCCTCCCATTTATGCTGATTGTTGTCTGTTGTAGTAGTAGTTGCTGTCGCTGTTCCCCAAGAATCTTCACCACCGCTGTCTTCTCTATGCTTATCTGAAGGCCTATTTTTGATGCTTCTTCTGCCAACTTGTTGCTTTTCACTTGCATATCTTCTAGTTTGTGGGAAATCAGATATACATCATCGTCGGAGTCCAGATCCTCCCAGTGTTTTGTGTGGATCCATTTTATGCCTGCCTCCTCGCTGCCCACTGTCTGTCTGTCGCATTAACCAGTCTACCGCAATCAGGAAAATCATTAGAGACAGTAGGCAGCCTTGTCTCACTCCTGTCCTCACTTCGAAGGATTCCGTAAGTTTCCCGTTGTGGATTACTTGGCATACAGCATTGTCATACAGCTGTTGGATGGCCCAGTTTTCAACTATTCCCTAATTAACTGAGTTTACTCAGTAGAGTTTATTTTGTTTTTCAATCTTTTTGTAGAGAGTTAATCCATCCGTGATGCTCAATATAGTTGGACAACATATGTTTACAGAATATTCAAGAAAGTTGTGACTCAAAAGTTCTTGTAAATCAGTAACCATACCAATGAAATAAAAATTACAGAAAAATATCACTTCATGAACTCATAACCCGAGTATATATAAACTATGACATTATTATTGTTATTATTATATTTTAACAATGTACTTCACATAGCTATGTGACATTTATTAATATCATACCATCATAACTATTATTAACTTACAAGTTTTAATTAAAACCATATATACTACTAACAAAGTATGAGTAGATACAAAATTTTGTTGTAAAATGTTTTGTGTAAATTAACAAAATATTGCAGTTTACGAAAAAATAATCCCAACGAATTTCTATCAACAAATGAAGCAAAATATTCTAATGGTATTTTTTAAAACTTAAATCTGATTATGATTTATAATGAATAACAATAATAATCGTAATAATTAAAGTGCAGATAGTGTGGTGAGTGTGTTCTGCATACGGTTGAGTAAACTTGATCAATTAGTAGAGCTGGAATTATGGTGTGTATACAGAGATATGGAATAATATAAGGTTGCCAGCCTTCAATATCACAAGGATAGACTTCTCCGCTTCTACTGAAATGGTATTCATGGTTTTTTTGAATTGTGGAAGAAGGTCATTCAGAGTATTTAATGTTGGAGGATTACTACGTATTTCATACATTTAGTTCCCTTGATAAATTTCGATAAAGAAAGGAAGACGAAATTCGCAGTATAATATGTAATATCATCATTCTTTTTCACAGGTTCTCATCAGATGTACACCCCTACCTGAAATAACAATGGTTATATAGACTGATAATAACAATATACTTTAATGTTTAAGTGGTATTATTATTATTGTCTCCTTTAATTCCTAGAGGAACATAGGGCTTCAGCCGTGCGTCTCCATTGCCTTCGGTTCTCTGCTAGAGTCTTCACCTGGCTCCAAGTCTGCCCACACGTTTTCATCTCCTCTTCACATGACCTCCTCCAAGTCACCCTTGGACTTGCACTGACGACCAAATCGCCCCTTCCATTTCAGGTTCCACTCGAGCAATGGCTTGTCTAGTGATGTCACTTGATGGTTTCCTCAGAGCATGGCCAATCCATCTCCATCTATTCTTGCTTATTTGTTTCACAATCGGTTCCTGCTTTGTTGGTTCGCTCATTGCCAGAGATCCCTGTTGGTGATCTTTTCTGGCCATCTGATCTTGAGTATTGAGCGAAGACAACTGTTAATGAAGGTCTGTAGTTTGTTTGAGATGCTCTTTATGACGCGCAGTGCAAGTCTCTGATCGGTATAGTAGCACTGACTGACTTCACATTGGAGTTGAAAATCCGGATCTTATTTTTGATGCTGAGTGCTGTTGACCTCCACACAGACTTGAGAGTAGTGAAAGCTTGTTTTGCTTTTCCGATTCTTGCTTTGGTATCTTCGTCAGTTCCGTCTGTAGTTGAAACGATGCTTCCCAGGTAGTTTAAGTGGTAGTAGAGATGAAATACTATGAAATTGACGCATGTAAGCAAAATATAAGCATTACAATTTCGTTTAGTTTAAGTTTTCATCGTCAATTTATACACTTTCAAAGTAGAAAATAGTCGGGGGAGGGGTAAGACAGAAAACAGAAAAAGTAATCGACAAACAGTGTTAGCTTGTAGGTTTACATAGCAAATCAATAAAAACAAAAGCGGTTACAGTTTATAAGATTGAGATTTGTTCAGTGAGTTGAGATCACTGAATTAGATGACTAATTATAAATGTAATCAAGATCAAAATTCAGTTGCCAAGAGAGTGAGAGATTAATCATACTCTCTTTCTGTATGCATAAGTCTGGTTTGAATCTTTCGTGATCTCAATCAAACGATTCAAACCAGACTTGTTAATTTTTTGTTCTCTATGTTACCCCTCCCCCATCTTTTCTACTTCGAAAGCGTATAAATTGATAATGAAAACTCACAAATTATTACTTCTCATAATCATATCAAGTCACTCACTCACACACCTTTCTGGCTTCATTTATATACATGAGTGAAATTGATGATTAGACATTTGATTGAATAAAAACCAATATGTGATAATGTACATTCAGAAATAATAATACGAGTGTTACCAATCAAGTACAATCAGATGGGAAATAAGACGAGTGTTTTTATAGTCAAAATAAGTAACTTGTTAGAATGTTGTAATGTACGTGAATTGAAAGAGAACGGGTCAATACACTCATTTTTCGAGTTTTGTGCGTTTGAAATAAAAACATAACCTGGCAAAGTGTGTGGTTCATAGAGCTAGGCTAATCTGTTTAGGTGACTACCTCAATCAGGAGCTTAAGATTATTAGAGAATTAATTAGTAAAAAAACGGTTATCCTGATAAGTTCATTGAGAAAACTATGGATTCAGGACCTAAGAGAGTCAGTATGGTAACAGTTCCCAAGAAAAACCACTGTTCATAAAACTGCAGTTCCCCCGGTGACAACGTCAGCGAGATAATATGACAGAGCCTGAAGAATGCAGTTAAAAGATCTTATTATGCAGCAGAGAGAGGTACATTGTCTATTCACAACGACTCCTATTCTACGCTCGACAAATAAGGATAAACTACTTGAATTTGCCTTCTCTATGTGTTTGATTGCAGCTGCGGAGCCAGCGTCATCGGGCGTACAATTAGGCTGGTTCGTCATCGTATTTCCGAACATCATCGAGCATGGTTAGGCAAGGAATAAACAAGATCTATCCGTAGCCCTATTTTAGCACACCTTGTGGATAGTGAGCCTCCAACCATCTAATACCAATAATTCACAGTGCACCGTAATGGCGAGCCACCTAGCATGGTGGCCACATTACAAACATGACTGATAGAATTCAGTCTGCACCGAAGATAGGACTAGACACATTACACTAGTTACTGACTAGTGTTCAATCAAAAATATGTGTTGCAACCATTTCTACCGTTTAATTGTGTGTATTAATTTTCTTCGTTAATTATCACCCCAATGACATGTTGACACTGACTAATTATTGTTAACAAACATATCAGTGCCACTTGATTGGTAAACTGTTGTGTACTGTAATAAATATGCTATGGATATATATTAGAGTCGAGCCAGAGTGAGATGAGGATCTAATTGAAAAAAGTGAATATTTCTTCGCTCAGTCTTTCTGTTTTCTAAATTTATAAATTGGGATTTTTTCTACATTAAAAAATTGTAATGCTTACATTTTGGATGTGTCAATTTTATAGTATTTCTTCTCTACTACCATGTAAACATTAAAGTATGTTATTATCATCTATATGACGATTGTAATTTCAGGTAGGGATGTGCAGCTGGTTAGGACCCGTGAAATAGAATGACGATATCATTTTATACTACTACTATGTATTTATCAGACATATTACCTAGGGAAAAGTATGATAGCCACATGTAGCTATATGTAGAAATATATGTACACATATATGTGGAATAGATTCAGGAGAATACTACCCAGCAGTATGGAAGGCTGAATATGAAGCCAGAACATGAGTAAATTGTACTCCAGGGATACTAACACGATCTTCTAATGAATGCAGATACTCTATATTTCTTCTCTTAGAATTTAGGGTTGTTGAAAGGTTTAAAACTTACTGGTTGCGCTCAAGGACTAGAAAAATCACAGACTTCGGAAAACTCTGCTGAATTAATATAGTAGTCAGCCACCGTAACTACTCAGCTCTTCTATATCAAACGGGTAAATAGTGTCTGTTAACCAAACATTATTATTATTATTGTTTCCTTTAATTCCTAGAGGAACATAGGGCTTCAGTAGTGCTTTTCGATTGCTAGGGTTTTCACCTGGCTCCATGTCCGCCCACACGTTTTCATCTCCTCTTCACATGACCTCCTCCAAGTCACCCTTGCACTGACGACCAACTCGCCGCTTCCTTTCCGGGTTCCACTCGAGCAATGGCTTGTCTAGTGATGTCACTTGATGGTTTCCTAAGAGTATGGCCAATCCATCTCCATTTCTTTCTGCCTATTTGTTTCACAATCGGTTCCTGCTGGGTTGGTTCGCTCATTGCCAGAGATCCCTGTTGCTGATCTTTTCTGGCCAGCCATCTGATCTTGAGTATTGAGCGAAGACAGTTGTTAATGAAGGTCTGTAGTTTGCTTGAGATGATCTTTATGACGCGCAGTGCAAGTCTCTGATCCGTATAGTATGAAGCACTGACTTCACATTGGAGTTGAAAATCCGGATCTTATTTTTGATGCTGAGTGCTATTGACCTCCACACAGACTTGAGAGTAGTGAAAGCTTGTCTTGCTTTCCCGATCCTTGCTTTGATATCCTCGTCATTTCCGCCTGTAGTTGAAACGATGCTTCCCAGGTAGGTAAAGGAGGTTGTTTCTTTCAGGTTCCTCCCATTTATGCTTATTGTTGTCTGTTGTTGTTGCTGCTGTTGGTGGTGTTGCCCAGGAATTTTCATCACCTCTGTTTTATCTATGTTCACCTGAAGCAATTCCTATCTTTGATGCTTCTTCTGCCAACTTGTTGCTTTTCGCTTGCATATCTTCCAGTTTGTGGGAAATCAGACATATATCATCGGCGAAGTCCAGATCCTCCAAGTTTTGTGTGAGTCCATTTTATGCCTATTCCCTCGTTGCCCGCTGTTTGTCGCATTATCCAGTCTACTGCAATCAGGAAAATCATTGGCGATAGTAGGCAGCCAGCTTGTCTTCCTCCCTTCTTTGCTTCGAAGTATTCCATGAATTTCCCGTTGTGGCTTACTTGGCATGCAGCATTGTCGTACAGCTGTTGGATGAGATGCATAATTGTCGGCAAAGTAGTTGCCAAAGCACCTCTCGATCGACGCTGTCGAAGGCCAACAAAGTCGATGTAGTTGAGATAGAGCGGTGACTGCCATTCCAAGCTTTGTTCAATGATGATCCGTAATGTGGTAGACTAAACACTGAAGAACGATTATCGCCGTTTCGAGACAACACACCTTAGTGATGCAAGTGGATTTCCAGAAAGTCGACTATCATTATAATAAAGGCTTCTTTTGTATTTCCCAATGAATGAAAAACAGAACGATGTTGTTGATTTTATTGACGTTTCGCTATTCATTAATGCTGCTGCT